AATCTAGACAAGACAGAATTAGTGAAATGCCTTGGCTACCTAAATTGTAAAAGGAAAAGAACTGAATGGAATACTATATGGGATAATAAATAAATAATGTATAAATGCTAAATATTTTTACCTTAATATTTACATAGGAATTTTTTTAGTGAAGAGGAATTTCTAGGAATAAGACATGAAGAGTTGTTTCTTGGGAAAAAGACAAAAAGAGAGTTTTAAATGACTAAGGGTTCTTAGAATTTAAGAATGGAAGAAGGAGAGGCACATAGACTAGAGAGTTGGGAATTAGATGAAAATTTCTGGCATATAACTTTGAAAAAGGAAAAGAACATGAAGGGAATTCTGGATAAAAAGAAGAATGTTTAAATGCATAAAGAGTTTTTACCTAATAATTACATAGAGAATTTTTTTAGTGAAAAAAGGAATTTCTAGGAATAAGACATGAAGAGGAGTTTCTAGGAATAAGACATGAAGAGGAGTTTTTAGGAATAAGACATGAAGAGGAGTTTCTAGGAATAAGACATGAAGAGGAGTTTTTAGGAATAAGACATGAAGAGGAGTTTCTAGGAATAAGACATGAAGAGGAGTTTCTAGGAATAAGACAAGAGAAGTTTTTAGGAATAAGACATGAAGAGGAGTTTCTAGGAATAAGACATGAAGAGGAGTTTCTAGGAATAAGACATGAAGAGAAGTTTTTAGGAATAAGACATGAAGAGGAGTTTCTAGGAATAAGACATGAAGAGGAGTTTTTAGGAATAAGACATGAAGAGGAGTTTCTAGGAATAAGACATGAAGAGGAGTTTCTAGGAATAAGACAAGAAGAGAAGTTTTTAGGAATAAGACATGAAGAGGAGTTTCTAGGAATAAAACATGAGGAGTTTCTAGGAATAAGACATGAAGAGAAGTTTTTAGGAATAAGACATGAAGGATATGAATTACTAGCTGAAGAAAAAACTTATGATTATAGTATTGAAACTTTAAAATTATGAGTTGTTTTAATATAAATTGCATCATCTCTTGTATATAAAAAAAGCATTTACATACTGAGTTATAATACCTCACTTGAAGAATGTTTATCAAAGAATAGTAAAATTAAATTAATTTGCTTTTGTGTCCACAGGTTCCTACACTTCTTCAAATCTCCCAGCAGTGATCAACAGTATTTAATCTTGACAACTGCTCGCAAACACCTGGGTGCTGGTGGTAATAAGAGAGTGTCTGTACACTCTACCACCACTTGTGTTCCAGGCTTATCAACTGGCTTTTAAATATCACACAGAGAGAGAAGAGGTACAGTGATTACCATAAGGGCTGTCAGTCCATGAAAGTTTTCTTGCAGTAAAATTATAATATGGCTGTTATGTGCATGTACCAGTAATCAGAAATTGTTTCTATGTATTAAATGGTTTATATTGTATGTCTTTAAGTTTTATGGTGATTGTCAGGAGTGTAACAACCACATTAAGTGTGGAACTACTGTGCTGAACAGTAACTATGTGGATTTAAATATTTTGTATATTTTTTCGTTAGACTTAACTTCTTAAAAGTCTTTACTGTTGAATAATTTAACATCATTGCAAATTTCAGTAATGCTCTAAGTATGGTTGATATTACATTTATTCATTTATTTAACTAGGATGATAAGTGGAGCAAAAAAGTTCACAAGATCTTCCAGTTTTGCCACCAGACCATCACAGCACTTGTCAAGGCAGAGTATGCAGAGCTGCCACTCAGACTTTTCTTGCAAGGGGCTCTTGCCATTGACAACATTGAATTTGAAAACCACGAGACAGTTGCTTATGAGTTTATGTCTCAGGTATATAGTATATAATTTCCGTTTACAGTGTGAGGGGCTCTTATGAAACATTAAGAATTGGGTTTGTTTTTATTTCACAAAGTCAACCTTCATAGTCTTATTGACATTCTATAAGATCAGTTCACTGACTCTGAGATTAAAAACGCTGACTTCAACAAACAGTATTACAATTGTCTTCTCTCAAGACTTAATTTTCTTTTAATGAAAATTAGAAAAAATTTTGGAGTGAGTTAAACAAGTTAAGAAACCCTAGGGAAAGTATGGATTTGTCAGTTAAAAACAGAGTAGGGGAGTTAGTAGATGGGGAGATGGAGGTATTAGGTAGATGGCGAGAATATTTTGAAGAACTTTTAAATGTTAAGGAAGAAAGAGAGGCAGTAATTTCATGCACTGGTCAGGGAGGTATACCATCTTTTAGGAGTGAAGAAGAGCAGAATGTAAGTGTGGGGGAGGTACGTGAAGCATTACGTAGAATGAAAGGGGGTAAAGAGCAGCTGGAACTGATGGGATCATGACAGAAATGTTAAAAGCAGGGGGGGATATAGTGTTGGAGTGGTTGGTACTTTTGTTTAATAAATGTATGAAAGAGGGGAAGGTACCTAGGGATTGGCAGAGAGCATGTATAGTCCCTTTATATAAAGGGAAAGGGGACAAAAGAGACTGTAAAAATTATAGAGGAATAAGTTTACTGAGTATACCAGGAAAAGTGTATGGTAGGGTTATAATTGAAAGAATTAGAGGTAAGACAGAATGTAGGATTGGCGGATGAGCAAGGAGGTTTCAGAGTGGGTAGGGGATGTGTAGATCAAGTGTTTACATTGAAGCATATATGTGAACAGTATTATTTGTGTATAAGTTTTTATTGCATTTATGGATTTAGAAAAGGCATATGATAGAGTGGATAGAGGAGCAATGTGGCAGATGTTGCAAGTATATGGAATAGGTGGTAAGTTATTAAATGCTGTAAAGAGTTTTTATGAGGATAGTGAGGCTCAGGTTAGGGTGTGTAGAAGAGAGGGAGACTACTTCCCGGTAAAAGTACGTCTTAGACAGGGATGTGTAATGTCACCATGGTTGTTTAATATATTTATAGATGGGGTTGTAAAGGAGGAAATGCTAGGGTGTTCGGGAGAGGGGTGGGATTAAATTTTGGGGAATCAAATTCAAAATGGGAATTGACACAGTTACTTTTTGCTGATGATACTGTGCTTATGGGAGATTCTAAAGAAAAATTGCAAAGGTTAGTGGATGAGTTTGGGAATGTGTGTAAAGGTAGAAAGTTGAAAGTGAACATAGAAAAGAGTAAGGTAATGAGGGTATCAAATGATTTAGATAAAGAAAAATTGGATATCAAATTGGGGAGGAGGAGTATGGAAGAAGTGAATGTTTTCAGATACTTGGGAGTTGACGTGTCGGCGGATGGATTTATGAAGGATGAGGTTAATCATAGAATTGATGAGGGAAAAAAGGTGAGTGGTGCATTGAGGTATATGTGGAGTCAAAAAACGTTATCTATGGAGGCAAAGAAGGGAATGTATGAAAGTATAGTACAGTGGACCCCCGCTTAACGATCACCTCCCAATGCGACCAATTATGTAAGTGTATTTATGTAAGTGCGTTTGTTCGTGTATGTTTGGGGGTCTGAAATGGACTAATCTACTTCACAATATTCCTTATGAGAACAAATTCGGCCAGTACTGGCACCTGAACATACTTCTGGAATGAAAAAATATCGTTAACCGGGGGTCCACTGTAGTACCAACACTCTTATATGGGTGTGAATCTTGGGTGGTAAATGCAGCAACGAGGAGACGGTTGGAGGCAGTGGAGATGTCCTGTTTAAGGGCAATGTGTGGTGTAAATATTATGCAGAAAATTTGGAGTGTGGAAATTAGGAAAAGGTGTGGAGTTAATAAAAGTATTAGTCAGAGGGCAGAAGAGGGGTTGTTGAGGTGGTTTAGTCATTTAGAGAGAATGGATCAAAGTAGAATGACATGGAAAGCGTATAAATCTATAGGGGAAGGAAGGAGGGGTAGGGGTCGTCCTCGAAAGGGTTGGAGAGAGGGGGTAAAGGAGGTTTTGGTGGGAAAGGGGGCTTGGACTTCCAGCAAGCGTGCGTGAGCATGTTAGATAGGAGTGAATGGAGACGAATGGTATTTGGGACCTGACGATCTGTTGGAGTGTGAGCAGGGTAATATTTAAATGAAGGGATTCAAAGGGGAAACCGGTTATTTTCATATACATGTAGTCGGACTTGAGTCCTGGAAATGGGAAGTACAGTGCCTGCATTTTAAAGGAGGGGTTTGGGATATTGGCAGTTTGGAGGGATATGTTGTGTATCCTTTATATGTGTATGCTTCTAAACTGTTGTATTCTGAGCACCTCTGCAAAAACAGTGATAATGTGTGAGTGTGGTGAAAGTGTTGAATGATGATGAAAGTATTTTCTTTTTGGGGATTTTTCTTTTTTGGGTCACCCTGCCTCGGTGGGAGACGGCCGACTTGTTAAAAAGTTAAAAAAAAAAAAAAATTGTATCTGTATTTCACTATTTGGATTTTAAATTTTATTAAATAAATTTGTGCAAGTGAGTAAGAGTTAGAGAGTAACTTTTAAATGAGAGCGTGAATACACAATAATAAGAGTGAATAAAAATAATTAATTATTGAAATATTGCATTTTACTACTTCATTTGCAGGCATTCTCCCTTTATGAAGATGAGATCAGTGATAGCAAAGCTCAGCTGGCAGCCATGACACTGATAATGGGTACATTCCAGCAGACAACATGTTTCAGTGAAGAAAATCACGAACCTTTAAGAACGCAGTGCGCTCTGGCAGCTTCTAAACTGCTGAAGAAGCCAGATCAGGCACGGGGAGTCACAACATGCTCACACCTCTTCTGGTCAGCGCGATCACAGCACACCAACAAGGAAGAGGTATTTTGTTTGTCTTGTAAATTCATCAGTACAATTTATAACCTTTTGCTATTAACGATGTATTCTACCTTATCCATTATTTTCAGCAGCATGGCATACAAAGGTTCTTTTGTTTAAATTTCAATTCTGTGTACACTGTATCTCATTGGCTTATCAGTTTCCATTATGCATGTCACTGCTTGTAACTCAATTAGATAAGTCTTTTGGAAAAAGACACGGTGTACAATTCAGGACATTTATTAGAGGAAATGTTTTGTCAGTGGTGAAACATTTCCTCTGATATGTGTCCTGAACTGTGTGTGAGTGTCTTTTTCCACATCTTCTAAGTATCACCATACCATTTTTCAGTTAATCTTTATTTATTGATAAGTTAATAAACATTTACAGCTCTTCATAATGTATGGTGAAAGCTTAGGTCTAAGATGTCACACTGAATAGATTTCCATGTTTCTATCTTCCTACATATTGCACAGCAGTGTTAAAAGATAGTGTTAATAACTTTGAACTTTGGTCTTTCAACCAGTGTTAATAACTAAAAACTTTGGTCTTTCAGCTGCGTGATGAGAAACGTGTTCTAGAATGCTTAAAGAAAGCTGTTCGCATTGCTAACCAGTGTATGGATCCTTCTACACAGATTCAACTTTTTGTTGAGCTCTTGAATCACTACATTTATTTCTATGAGAAAGGAAATTCACAGGTAAGATTTAGGTATTTAGAATATATATTCATGAATGTTCTTGGTGGGATATGGCTGGTTTGTTGAAAAAAAAACATGAATGTTCATAAAATTTTTAATAACAGACAAATCTAGATTAATGTACAGTAATAGGATATTGAACCAATTTCTCAGAAGTTTTATAAATGAATAATAGTAACTAACTTGAGACATAAACAAAAATGTGTTCTCATCGTTGTCTAGCTAGAAGTGTGCTGACATCAGAGTTCAGATTACCCTCCAACTGCAACATCCCCAACCCTCCAAGACTCAAATCCAGTTAATTGGTTTCCCTGAATCCCTTCATAAAACTTACCTTACTCATATTTCAACAGCATGTCCATTAAAAACCACTTGTCTCCACTCATTCTTATCACGCTCATTCACACCCGCTGGGTGCTCAAGCCCCTGCCACTCAAAGCCTCCTTTACCTTCTGCATCCATTCCTGGGATCATCTCTACTCATCCTACTTTCCATCCCAGATTTATACACCCTCTTTATCATCTTATCCCTCACCATCCTCTTTACATGCCCAAGCCACCTCATCCTTCCAAATTATACTCTTGATGACCCCACATCTTTTAAATTCTATGTTTCAAATTTTTTGCATGTTCACCACATATTACTCTCAAGTATAACATCTCCACTGTCCTTTGCCATCTCCTTGTAAGAAGGTTCAAAACCAATGCCTCATGCCCATCCATTTAAAAGTATTGGTACCACTATACTCTGCTACATTCCCTCTTTTTCCTACATAGATAAAGTTCTTTCAATAGATACTTCAACACACCACTCGTCTTTTTTCTCTCATCTATTCTATGGGTCATCTCGTCTTTTGTAAACCTTTCTGCTGATATATCCACCCCCGATTTCTACATACATCCATTTCCTCCATACTCCTTCCCTTCAATCTGATTTACTTACATATTGAAAATCCTCTCTCTCTGAACAGTATGTTTTTTGGTGATAAAGACTAATTGCAGTGGAGTTCTTTTTTGGCACAATGCTAAACACATGGATTTTTACAAGTACATAACAGTTGCGAGATACGTATATGTTAGGTGAGCCTACCAGCCCACCTGATATAGGCTGCGTGCTGTACCTCACCAAAGGCTTGATACACCTTATTCATGCACCTGACCTCTGCACTGTTTAAATTGGTTTAATCTCACATGTGTTATGTACATGTGAAATATTGTATACTAGTAAAGGACTTCTCTGCAGTTATCATCACTCGCCGGTAATACGCCTCCAGCTTGCAGTAGTATTAGTTTCTTGATGAATTTACCCTAAACCATGATTTTAGCACACATTCACAGTTAATTAACATTAAGAAAGCTCTTATGCCATATAGTATTTAGAAGTGCAATATGTTCATGGAAAAATTCTGTTTACTACTTGTTGCAACCCCTGAATGGGTCACAATGTATATGATGTATATGTATATAATGTATATTACCTTTTCATATAATTTTATATTGCTTATATTTGCGATAATAGCTAAATCGTAAATATATTGCTTTATATTATTATTTGACTTAGTTACTTTTGTTAGGTAGGATGTAACCTTCATATATTATTATTATGTGCTCATAGTTCAAGTCTCATTGCTCGTTTCCCTGCTGGTTTCGTTTCCCGGCTTGGTTTGCTGTGCAGCAACTGTCCACGGAGCTATCACGTGATCGAGGGGGGGGTGTACACACCTCGCCTGAAGTATTCAGTCTGGGCTAGACTCGCTTGGTGGTTGGACGTATTCCAGACAAGAAGTGCCTAAATCTCCCTTATTGGCCCTTGTTGGAAGATTGTCTCTGTCTCATTATTGTTGTAGGTTCTGTGAGACTCGGTTCACAGAACATTGTATAGACTTAGTGATTTTCGACGTTGTACTGAGGTTGTGTCGCATAGACACTCTGAGCAACTCAGGTCCTGAACTGTAGCTTCTGACCTAATTTGTACTGGTATCTGTGTACTATCACAGTCGGGGATTTTCTTATGCTGAACTTAGATTCAGTAGTATGGGAGTTTTGTGACTTTTGTGGAGGGTCTTCTTATGGTCCCTACTTAGTGTCGTTATATTATCTCCTTGTTCCTGACTCTGTGTCACTTTTGCTTGTTATATTGCTGTTCGGCTTATCAGTCGTTTTATTGTTCAAGCAGACTGTTCTGATTGCCAGGTGGTCAAGAAGTTAGTTTATGTGAGGACTTTGTCAGTCACTTGTTTAAGTCTAGTCGAGTCGTGAGACACAGCGAACTACTTAGAGCACTTACACACATACACACAAACTTATTTGTATATTGTATTATTAAATGTTAATGTACCAGATGGTACTTTAGACATAAATATGTGATATGTGCTATCAGCACAATAATACTGTACACAAGAGAAGTGATTATTCTTATTTTGTTGATACAGTATTGATTTAATTTAATTTGATATATGCCTAGACAATTATTAATAAATTTATTAAATTTTAATTTCTCTAGTTAGTAGCCTACCAGTTGTAATCCTGAAGCACTATTAATTCTTATTGAATTCTAATGGATAATTGGACAAGGATACTGACTAATTGTTACGAAAACCCAGTAACAGGCTGGATGCTAGAAGGGCAGTCCTTTCTAATATTCACTGGAGATCTCTAAGCTTATTAGAAATCGAGTTTTTTGTAACACTTCTATTAATCAGAATTTTTAAAGCAGTGCATTATATGCACCAACAGTGTGTATATCAAGTCTGAAATGTACAGCTTGAATTCCCTTTTTTCACATTCCATTCAGCTTGTTGGCAAAATATACTACTCTCTCTCTTTTTATATCATAAGAGCTTTTTTTGTAACATAACACAGCTGTCGTGTTAAAAAAAAGTGTAATAAGAAGAAAAAATCAAATTTCAGGTAACTGTGACAATGCTTAACCAGCTAACTAGCAAAGTGAAGGAAGATCTTGCAAACTTGGAGACGACTGAAGAAACAGATCAAATTTCAAGGCACCTAACTAACACACTGACTCATCTTCGACTCAGACTACAAGAGCCACCAAGTGATGGACCTAGCTATGAAGGTCTACAAGTGTAAGCTGCAAGTTGCCACTTCTTTGGATTCCCCAAAGTTATATATGTTCACTACTGTGTGTGCCACATAACAAGCACTGTAGTCCAAAGTTTAGTAACATGTAAATAACAATAGATTCATAAAACTATAATGCATTCAAGATAAAGCATGATTGTTGTCACATCTCACTGGTTCAAGTAGCATGTTGTTATTAAGGTAAAGATTTATTTGCTAAACTTGTAGATATGAATATATTATTTTCTTGAATACACTCACAACTGATATCTTCTAGACTAAGACACTAGAATGGTAACTCATCTATATCTGAGATATCTTCTAAGATGAAGTTTTGAAACAGATTCATGCATTTTCTTTGCCAAAAGACTGTTACTTTTTTTTTAAAGGATTATATTTAGGTACTTTTAGTAAAAAATAACACCGACATTTAAAAATTGTTAATATTTTTCTTCTAAATTATCTAAATAATTCAGACTACCATTTTTGTAATACTCACAACTGTTTATGATTTAAAGTTTGAACTCTAAGCCATTATAATTTTTGTGAGAAGAATTTTGAGAAATAATAAGTACTGTACTAAGATTTATAACTGCACTATTGCTGTGTAAAATATTTTGAGCAATATATTGTATACCAAAATTTATTTTAATACTGTTTCAAATATACTAACAGAAATATTTATGTTCAAAACACTTCATTTAAACCAAATGCAAAATGACTGTTATGAGTAGCTACGATAGAATTTTTTTGTGAAGCTGTAACAACTCGGGGTTTACTAAAGAAGTACTAAAATATTCCCATGTACTTTAAATGATTGGTATTATAAGAAATTTAATGTCGTCTCTTTTAATATTAGTTTTCCTTTCCATTTTTGTATACATTACTCTGTATATAAAGTGATAATTCTATTGACAGAAGGTAGAATTTATATGCAGTTTTTTTTATTAGTTACCATAGTTTCTTTATTTTATATAATTACTGTGATACCAGCATAAATACATTTGATGCTCAAACAACAGAGAAAATAAATTCTGCCAAATGTAAATAAGTGTAAAAAAAAATTAATCCATTAAACTCGGTTGATTACAGAGGCTTTATATGGATGTGGTAGATCAGTGGATGATGTAACCTATGAGTAATCATCGAATAAAAGAAATAGGCAAAAACATTAAAGTATAATGAATCACTAATGTGAGATCAAGGATGTACAATAATTAACATCAGAACTATTTAAACATAGAAAGGGACATAGAAGAAAAATTAATTTAACCCTTAGAGGGTTAAGATCCCCGATCCTTAACCCATTCTCAGGGTTGAAAAAGTTTCAAAAACAAAATTTTTTTTTTCCTTATGAAATGATAGATAATCTTTTCCCAGTGATAATGACAACAAAAGTACGAAATTTGATGGAAAACTTGCGAAATTACGCTCTTGCAAATTTAGCGATATTTACACATCAGCGATTTCGCCCACTTTGAGCCCTATTTTCAGCCACTTCCATTGTTCCAGTCGACTAAAATCATAGCTATTTTGCTAGAACTCCATTTGTTCTATTGATTGAGCACAACAAATCACCCATTTACCGATTTCATTACCCAATAAAGTGGTCAGAAATTGGCAGTTTGGTCAGTTTCACACAAATTTCAAAAGATGCCAATTTCAAAATAGGGTCCAGAATAAACAAGACAGACATTCCTGACACTAAAATAACATTTTTCTCTGCTCATTAGTCACATTTCCAGGCCCCTCTTATATTACTCTTGCTTTCCATTTTGAATTTTTATTCTCAAAATATAGATGATTTACTGTTATGCAGACTACTGCAATATTGTAAAAATGGTATAAATAATATCAGTGCACGTGTTAAAGAATATTAGACTCACCAGTTGACGTGTATTGGACGCGTGGCATGATTTGTTTACTCTTGAACATTGGCAAAAATCAAACACTTCCACTACTTTGAACTCAATTTCAAGGTACTTTTCATTGTGAAACCAATCAAAATCATCTCTATTGTGTAATATATTTTCCATTCTATCAAATTAGAACAAGAAAATGAGAATACAACTATAAATACCATACGAAAATACACTGCAAAGTCACTGTTTTAAACCAAAAACACTGAGTTTTTTTTTCTCATTATGCACTGCGTGCTGCAGGATTTTTTTTATACTGCACACACTGACCATGCAGACCCATTCTCTCACATGTAGGCCTACCAGCTTTCTCCCGCTCAATTTGAAGGCACTAGAATTTTGGCATTTAAGTATAGCACCAACCCTGGCTCTCAAGTCATACATGTACGGCACCAACCCTGAAAAGGTTAAGAGTAGAAAGTGATAGGATCTCTGTAGTGTAGATAACCCATTCTCACACCATAAGCAGTATGCATGCACACAGATATGTGAATGTTTATACCACATTATAAGATATGTCACAGACTTTTTTTTTCTTAAATTTTTTATTTGTAGTTAAATATAAATGTTATAGATTTATAAAACCTTCCCCTAACCTAATTGAAACTAAAGAAAGTACAGTAGCAGTTGTAAATTCAAAGGGAACTTTCAGAAATTAATATTGGGAATCTCATTTCCTCCAGAAGTTCTGTCTCTTATCTTCTTGACTCTTGGCTGGCCAAAACTCACTTCTTTCCTTGGCACTTATACTCCTGCTCACCTCTGCCACTCAAGACTTCATTGAACATGTTTGAATCACATCTGACCTGTAAGATACTAAGTCTTGATGTTGAGTCCCTCTCGTTCTCAATTTTCTTAAGAGTGAAGACCAGTGATGTCTTTCTTGATGTCTTTCTTGATCATATTTTTACTCCAACTTTTTTCTTTTCAAGGTAAATTTTATTCCTAAACCTTTGGTGTTACTGTGGGCTCCTCTATCCCCTGTTTTTGCTAACCTTTATGTGGAATAGTGCATAACTGTTTTATTTCCTACTATTGGAGTGTGCCCTTCTCTCAGGCTTCGATATGTACATATCTGCTCTTTCACCACATGCCTAGTTTCTTCCAACCTTTTCGTGATGTGCTTAACAATCCTGCTCTCTCTGTCAAGTTCAAAGCTGAATGGGTATCTAACTCTTTGCTTCCTTTCTTGGATGTACAGTACATGTCCATTGCTTGGTGACAGGCTTTTCTTTATCCATTTTTATTGCAAACCAATGCACAGTGGTATCTGCATTTACTAATTTCTTACCACTCATCCTCTACCAAAAAAAGTGTTCTTATTTCTCTCTTTCTCTATGCTTTCACATTTGTGATCCTCAGTTTCTTGACTCTGTAATTTCCTCTCTCTGCAATTAGTTCTCTCAAATTGGCTACCCTTCTGACTTTATAAACTCTGCCTTCTCACGTGCTAAATGGACTTTCTTCTTTCCCAGACTCCTTACTCCTGTGAAATCTATTCATTGCCTTCTCTGTATTTCCATTTTCTTAATTTTAACAGTACCCTCTGTTCCTTAGACCTCAAACTTACTTTTCACTTAGCCATAGTAATCTAGTTCACACTTCTCCTGCTACTGATGATTTTTTCTGCTTTCCTTTTGCCTCATCCAATACTTTTGGAGAAATTGGCAGCTCTCTTTCTGACAGAACACAAAAGAAGTGTTAGCCATGTTGACACTAACAGTGCTCTTTTCTGTTATGTTAGTGATCATGGTCATTCTCTGTCCAAAACTGGTCTACCCTCTAGCATTCAGAGACCCCATCCTTGTTGAAGGTCCTTTATTCACAACTTTCCCGATATGAAATCTTAGGACCTTGGTTTTGTAGACTTTTCTTTCTCAATACATTTCTCAAAATGCTCCAATGTCAGAACACTGAGTGACTTGACCTATCTTTATCTCCCTCCTTTCCTTACCTTTTATCCTTCCTACATTTTCATAGCCTTTTTCCAATTTCTTCTGCCTAGGAGGATTCTGTCCTGTGGGTAGTCCAACTTGATTGGTCATAACCCTTCAGGGCCAGGAGCTTCCCTGCGTGCTCCTCTCTTTCTCTTTACTAATCCCCACCCTCTGCCCCCTTTTTTTCACTACCACAACCACCTCTTATTTGCCACATCAATCACAGCAGCCCCATTTAGTTCTTCTATTACCACTTTAAAACTCCTTGTTTACAACAAAAAACCGTTCTTGCCTTCGCTGGCCCCCTTCTCATATAATCCAAAGCATTCCTTTCCTGGTGCTTCTGTTCACTAGTTAACCGTCGCGCCAGACTGAATTATTAATATTATTATCCCCTCAAGGGAGGCTCTTTTTACGCTGGTGGAGGATCCCTTGGATCTAAGAATTGGACTGTGCTCTGGTTCCCTATTGAGCCTGAAATATACCATCCATCCCCCCCACATGGCGCTGTATGAACTATGGGTTTAGCGCTTCCCCCATATTATAATGATACTTATATCAAAAAGAAGTGCTAAACTGGACAGATTGAAACATCATTAATAGTTTTCTCTGTGTAGGTATTTTGTGTATTGTTCCAGTCATGGCACTATTCCTTTTTATTCTTTTTGGGACTCTGGCAAGACAATGAAAAAATGGGGATAAGCTGGTGAAGAAGAGTGTAATTTGTGCTGACACATCCATTTGGGGAGTGGACGTTCAGCGTAATGGGTCTATTAAAGATAGGTGAAAAGGTGAGGTGGTTGCAATGTATGAGTCTGTGAGACAAAGAACTTGTCCTTGGAGGCAAAGAGGGGAATGTACGAGAGTATATTTTAACACCAACGCCTTATATGGGTGTGAAGCCTGGGGGTGATGAATTTTGCAGTGAGGAGAAGGCTCGGAGGCAGTGAGATGTCAGTGTTGAGGTCAATGTGTGGTGTAATATCATGCAGAGAATACGTAGTTTGGAAGTTAGGAGGAGGTGGTGAATACAAAACCTTTTGTCCCAAGGGCTGAGGAAGGTGTTGTTGAGGAGGTTCGACATGTAAGAGAATGGGAGCGAAACAAATACTCAATGAGTGTACAGTCTGTAGTGAAATTAAGGCCCGGGGTAGGGGATCGGCCTATGAAAAGGTTGAGAGAGGGGGTAAAGTAGTTTTGTTGTGCGAGGGCTTGGACTTCCAGCAGGCAGCGTGAGCGTGTTTTGATAGGAGTGAATGGAGACAAATAGTTTTTAATACTTTAACCGTGCTGTTGGAGTGTGACAAAGTAACATTTAGAAGGGGTTTCATAGGGCAACCGCCAGGGCCTGACTTGAGTCCTTTGGTAATGGGGAAGTACAGTGCATGCACTCTGAAGGAGGGTGTTAATGTTTGCAGATTAAAAAACTTGTAGTGTAAAGCCACCCTTCAGCAAGACAGTGATGGAGCGAATGATTGAGAAAGTTTTTTCTTTTTTATTCGGGCCCCCCAGCCTTGGTGGGAAATTGGCCAGAGTGATAAAAAAAAAAATATTGACCTTTGGAAAGCAAAAAAGGGACTAAAATGAGGTCAACAAATCAAAAATTTAGGCACTGAAATTTTTTTTTTATTAATTTAGAAAAAAGTAACCTTTAGTAGGATTTCTTATCAGAAAGGAACGCTTTATCGCCATGCCTTCTTGAGAAGAGGTGCCTTGGGTGCCAGTGAGAGGCCTTTGATCTGAGGAACTTATTTTCCGTTCCTTTCCCTGGATTGAACCTGATTGCCCAAGCTCTGTATTTTGATCCCCGACAAATTTAGTGCCCA